CTTTTAATTTAAACTTTCTTCTATAACTGTTTTCTTGTTACTTAAAAGCTAGTTTTTTTGAAACTAACTTCCAAAGTTTTCAAGCTGTATATGTCCTTGGAATGAATTTATAAATTAGAATTGAGCCCGACCAGTGTGACTCAGTGGTTTAGCATCGACCTATGAACCAGGAAGTCACAGTTTGTTTCCAGGTCAGGCCACATGCCCGGATTGTGGGCTTTGATCCCCAGTACGGGGCGTGTAGGAGGCAGCCGGTCAATGATTCTCTCTCATCATTGATGTTTCTTTCTTTTTTTAAAAAAAATAGGTTTTTTTGTTTTTTTGTTTTTTTTGTTTATTTTTTATTTATTTATTTTTTAATTTTTATTTGTTTTTTTTGCTAAAAGTATTACAAAGGGTATTACATATGTGTCCTTTTTTTCCCCCCGCCCTTGACAATCCCCTGTCCTCCCTCAGCCCCAGTGTCTTATGTCAATTAGTTATGCTTATATGCATGCATACAAGTCCTTCACCCAGCTTTTAACAACACAGAGAAAGCATCATGAGGCTATTGTATTTGCATAGAAAAAAGTGGAGAATAAAAGAAACACATGAATTCAGCAAGTATGCACGGAGTAACTATGATTTGGAAATGTGCTACCAATGGACCATGCCAAGGTGGTTCTTGATTGCTTCTATTTCATCAGACACAGCGAGGTGGGGTTGCTGGAACTTCAAGAGTGTTCATATGGAAGGACTTGGCAAGCTTGAAAGGGCTGGCAGCGTTTTGAGCATGGGGAGATGGTGAAAGAAGATATGTAGCTGAAAGTAGAAAGTTCCGTCAAAGAACAAAGCCCAGCTAGGGAAGGAAAGCATAAGAAGAGGGCAGGAAGCAGGGGTGGGAGGGGCCACTCTAGGAGGAGAGCCTCAGGCGGGGAAGCTGGGTATGGACCTATAGGCCTGTGGCAGCGTCCACAATTAGCCCTTGAATAGCAAAGCTGTTCCTCAACTTTGGGCCGAGCTCTTCTGTACTCTCTCCTCTCACAGAACCTCTTTCTTCCTGTCAGAGTACTTGCCTCCACTTGTTGTAAAGGTTCATTCATCAGTGTGAGTCACTGTCAGGCTCACCTTTGGCCTGGACGCTCCATGAAAGCAGGGAGTGCATCTGTGTT